TGTTTTTTGGTGGATTCTTCGGGTGATTCTTTAAGTCGAGCGTTGTCTTCTCACCCTTATTTGTTACTTTTTCAGGTCAATGAAGCAAAAAATGTTTTGAAGCTTTGTGATTTTGGTAACGCCATGTTTGCTGGAAAAAATGAAATTACACCTTATCTTGTGAGCCGCTTCTATCGTGCTCCAGAAATAAGTTCGTTCCTATCTCTTAGTGTTGCTTGACTAACTTGATATTTTTGAGAGAAATTTTCTGCTGAGTTTGCTGCATAAGATGTATAACATAATGCCTGATGTCTTTGTGCAGTTCTTGGTCTCTCTTATGATCATCCAATGGATATGTGGTCTGTTGGCTGCTGTTTGTATGAGCTTTATACTGGGAAAGTTCTCTTCCCTGGTCCAACAAACAATGACATGCTACGCCTTCATATGGAATTAAAAGGTCCTTTCCCAAAGAAGATGCTTCGCAAAGTAAGAACTTTTCTCCCCGGTTTTGATATATTTAAGTTTCCATAATCGTACTTCTGAATTTCTTTCAATGAGATTTTTCTGTTTCTTGGCCTTACAGTTTCTTTTTTTTTTTTCATGTGTGCTTAGTTGTTCTTGCACATAACATATGTTTGCTTCAGGCATGCTTACCTAGGTATGAGATATCATTTTGTGGTTGTGTTGATACTGTTTTCCTTTTTTTTTTAATCTTTAACAGGGGGCATTTAGTGATCAGCATTTTGATCAAGATCTGAATTTTCATGCTACAGAAGACGACCCTGTTACCAAAAAGGTAATAAAGGTTTTTAATTTCTTTTCAATTACTGTGCTTTTTAAAGTCTTTTTTCTGCTTTATCTTGACTTGAGTATGCTATTATTTATTTGCAGACCATAAAGAGGATAATTATTAACATAAAGCCAAAAGATATTGGATCAATTATTGTGGGTTCTCCAGGCGAGGATCCCAAGATGTTAGCCAATTTCAAAGATATTCTAGAAAAAATATTTGTCTTGGATCCAGAGAAGAGAATGACAGTGTCACAAGCATTATCGCATCCATTCATCACGGGCAAGTGAGCCATGTTGCTGATTTTATGACTGCAGAAATGCTGCTTCACTAGATATTTGTAAATTATGTTCTAATCGTTATTAAGACATCTAATCATTGGACATTATCTTTTATCTTCTCTTCTCTGCGATAAGAGCTCTCGATACAGTTTTTGGCATGGTTCAAGTGAAGGGGTGATGTTTGGTCAGAAGTACTCTTTACTGGCGATTGTTTCAGTGGAATGTACTGTTTCTATTGTAAGACAACTCGCCAAAGGCGTTTCTATTAATTTTTCTCCTGTAACTTTTCCTGGTTATGGCCATAGGCAAAATTATCGTATCTTTTCTCATTGCTGTTCTGAGAAAATTAACAAGGACAGAAACTTACAATTTTTACGAGTTTAGATGAGTGTATTCTCTCTGATAATCATTGATGAAAAAAGGCATGGTGGATTTAATTTATCTTTTATAAGCACTTCTCTCCCATATATGTCTAACTGATAACTGCTCTTTCATTGCCACAGTTTCATTGGTTATATCTTATTGCAATATAACTTTCTAGTATATGATTAGAATTGTTGGATCTTGGAGAGTCTGATTCTTTTTTTCATTCAGGATATCTGCCACTGCTTTGAGACAATCCTCCAGTGCTTAGATGCTTAAAAGGCACACAGGAGAAGGTACCTTGGTTTGCTTATTGGGAAGATTTATGACACACTTGAAACTAAATATCACAATCTTTATGAAGTTCTTCTTGGTGTGTTTTTTGGATTGGGTCCATAGTTTAAATGTAAAAATAGCTGTTTTATGTCTGTTAGATCTTTTCGGATGTGTGCAATTACAGACATGATCACTTTACTGCCCTTCTACTGAAATAGTAATACAGGATAGAAAATTCTTGCTTTTGAGCTTTGAAATCTGTTCTCTTGCATGGTATTTTTTGTATCTTTCTAAGAAAAAACCAACCCTGTTTCAGTTTGTTAGTGGTGTCTGTTTCAGTATGTTATTGAGAGAAAAGTTTTTTCGTTTTTTTCTGTTATCTCATTCACACTTTACATGGTGCCATATCCTAATGAACTGTGTTATATATGATCCATGGGATTGTCATTCTGAAGGCACTTGCATTGGAGCTTGTACGTCTGCAGTAAAAGTGAGAATGTAACTGAGTAAGTAATCAACTCCTAACGTTTCCTTGCTATTTGCCAATCTATTTGCCAATTCCATTTTCTTAATGTGATTCTTGTTTTGTTATGCAGTAATCCCATGTGTCATTGGATCTTGTAAGTATTTCTAGCTCATATCCATTTCTAGTGCAGTTCATTATTGTGTTTATAAGTTGAGGTTCCTTCCCATTAATTATTTATTATTATCTAGTATAGGATGGTTTTTAGGAACTTAACTAGTATGGAATTGACTGTCGCTAGTAGTCATTCTTTACAAATTTTGGATTTTTTGTAGGATTTTAGGTTTAAGTCTGACCGTCGATTCGCTTTGATCTTGAGAAAGTGATATTACAAGCTAACAGTTCGATAATGTTTCTTGCTTTTTTTGTATTATGCCCAAACCTGAATCTTTTTGAAAGTAGAACCTGATCGTTTTTTCTTAAGCTTTTTATCTTCATTTCCCAAGTTGTTATGGTTTGTTTCCGTAACCAGGTAGAGGTCCTATGTTAAATATGAGTTACCTCCTTTATGCTGGCCTCGTTGAATTTAAATTTTGGCGTCTGATTTCCCTGTTGTCCACAAAATTTGCTTGTTGCCAGTCATTTTCATTTCTAAAACCTTGATGATTAATGAAATTAAAGGGTGGGGAATTTTAGTATATTGTTTTTGTTGGGTTTCTTATTTCTTTTTCAGAAATCTTTTTGAAGTATAAATAAAGCTTTCAAGCTCTTACTTTTTATGCTTGCAATTGCCTGCGAAACATTTTGAGTTAATATTCCAATTTTTAATGAAGTTGCATAGCTATGACTTAAAACTGGAGAAGGTAGTTACTGCTTGAACTGAGCAATTTATTTCTAGTCTCCGCTTCATTCTTTTCTTTTTCATCAATTTCTTTAAATTGATTTTTTTTGAAATAAAATTTCTTTAAATTGATTAATAATGGCTATTCCTATTGGAATATGGTCTGGAGATATTATCTTGTTGAACTTGGTATGAACTCACTTCTTGTTTCTTAGGGAACAAAAGGAACTCAATCTTGGGTCAGGAAAAGAAAATTGATAGATAGTAAACATTCCTAACTAGGTTGGTGTAAGACACAGGGAACTAGGACCTAGAACTATAGAGAAATTGGACCAGAAACAGATTCTGGACCTCAATAATCAATTCAGTTTAATTGAATCTGAAACTTTTCTATGGATATACTTTATATCAGTGCCAAATATACCACCAGGATTGGTAGGTAGGTTACCTAGCATAATAAGAATACTTGATAGGAACTACTAATGATAGAACAGAAACTACTCTGCCAGAGAAGAAATCAAGTAAATTTCCTCAATATTTCTTAAACTCCTAAACTATGTAAATATTATTAGAACCCTTGTGATATTCAAGAAAAATTATTTCAGAAAAAGTTATTGGGTGGTTGGCAGGATGCATGGAGTGGAATGAATGTAAAATCTGTTATGGGACTAAATTACCCTTACTCTTTTATTGAGTTTAGAGATACTAGAATTATTACTGTCTTCACACGTTAGGAAATTTTATTGTCTCCCACTTTCACCTCCTTTGCAGATTCAAGTCTTTAGTCTCTTTGCACATTAAAAATTAATATGTTTACCATTCCATTCAGTTACCTCTGTCTGTCCCTTACATCAATTCTCAAGGCATCAGTTTTCAGGGGTTGGGGAAACATGTCTTTATTCAATGTTATTTGGTACATCATAACATTTTGATGTTGGACTAGGTACAGTTAAACTTGCCTACTCAGGGACAATTCAGATATTTTACCTTTTATAAACATTAAATCTAAGAAGTTTTAACCATTACGTTTAAAGGTTTGATTGCATCATACAACTAAAAAACTGAGAGAAAGTCTAATAGAAGAATAAAATCTTAAAATTATTAAAATTATAACGATAGAAAACCTAAATTGTAAAGTAATTTTATTAAAAAACTTAAAAAGCACAGTGATTGAACCATTGTGCAACACGTTTAATTGACCATTTCAGAAAAACAGTATTATATGGAAATTGAAGTTTCTTCTTCTGCAACTGTTTGACCAGTTGCATTTTTCTTTGAAATCTTTTCTTTACTCCTGATACAAAATCTTTCTATATCTGACTAAAAGTTTTGCTTTTCTGCAATGAGCACCATCTTGTTGCAGGTTATATATATGATCAAATTCTTCACTAGAACCTTCCTTGTTTTACGCATTATAAACCAATCTTGCTGTCGTGACAAATATCACTTGTAAGATCTAATCTGTATTAATTCATCAAAACATCATCATTCTTGATACCTTCAACAAGGAGGTCTAAGGATTACAGATAGTATCCCAACGAGGCTTTTAGTGTGGCTCCAGTATGTTTTGCAAGTTTTATAGTCCTTCCTGCTTAATCTGATCTCTTTTTCTTTTCATTTAAAGAACTGGTGGGCGAGAACCACACCCAGTAATAATAATAATGATAAAACTAAACAAATGAGGATCGTCAATCTTTTTAGATTGTTCATAACTTCATAACTTCTTTGTTTTGAGATTAGTTATTAGGTGTTTTTAGTGGTAAAAAAAATATTTTATGGCCATCTTTGATGTTGTAGAAGACTTGGTTTAATGTTCTTCACCAGGTGCAGGACTTTCGGATTTGTGTTGGAACAAATGATTTATTTCTGTGGAACTTATTTGGAAAGTTTGGGTCTCGTTTGTTATAGAAAATTGTTCTGAGTTTTTATTTCTTTGATTTTTAATTTTGTATGTGTTTGCACAAATATATATATATGTGTAATTGTGAAAATACAATGAAAACTGAAATGGTAGTGAATGGTGTAAGTTTACAAATAATTAGAAGTTATTCCAAGTTCATTTCATATTTTCACTATTATTTTTCAAACTTTGTTTCCTTTTCAATAACTACATGTCCTATATAAATTTTGAAGGTAAAGTCTCCAAAACAGTTTTCTACAACTAAATTTGGATAATGGTTTGTAAATCCATTTTCATTATAAATATCCTGAATGGTTTTGTGAAGATAGGAACTACCAAATGAACTAAATGCTGAACTAAGTATGCGAACTACAATACTTAAGATGAATCCCAGAAAAATAGTTTATTTTGCTCAGCATACCCTTGAAATCTACATTTGTAATGCTGAACTAAGCATGAGAAGAACATTGAAAAAAATAGTTTGTTTTGTTCGTCATACCCTTGAAAGTTTTTGGAAAATATATTTTGTTATGTAGCTTTTCTCAAGGCTTGTTGGATGATTATACTGGTAGGATCATTAGGATTTCATATTTGCAACCTGGGTGAGGTTGGAAGCCATTAAACACTTAATTTTCTTAGACTTGATTTATCAGTTTGATGAAGGGGGTATTTGCTCTGACTACTCTGGTTTACACCTGGTACTACTTATCAACTGTAAGATAAAAATTGACTGCTAGTGGCATCTGGGTTGAAAAGCTCAGAAGAGGCTGAATGAATCTTTGTGGGATTATAGATATGGGTTGTGCTCATGCTTTCGTGTTTAATTCATTTGATTATCATCTTTGTTAGAGATTGTGGCCTTTCTTACCACTATTGTAGTAAGGTATCTCATATCTTGGATGTTTTACCAAGGAATAGGACAGTTAATATTATATACGGTTCTGTTATGTGATCAACTTCTGCAAGTCGAGTGCTGAATACCCTCCCCTGGGTGTAAAATTACAGAATATCTCTGGTCTGAATTAAAGGTCTGTTGCATCTTATATTTTGAACGATTATTCTCAATGTTTTCTTCATTCTCCCTGATTTCCATGTTTTTATAATTTTCCTCATCCACATTAACTGAAGTATTCTATATTTGAAAGGTGAACTTTCCTTTTTGTCTACATGCTCTTGTGCTTATTTCACATGCACTATTTTGTTAGTTTGAAACTGCCTATTATTTGACAGTATATCCTGGTAAAAGATCCATTAAGTTTACTTCTGTAGAGAGTTTCTTTCATTGTCTTTATAAAGTTGTTTAGTCAATTAAATAAAGAAAAATTGTTTGATGATGCTTGCTGCTATAGTATTTCGAGATTTTATGTATTTAACTAAAGCGTGATACAAATTGTGATATATGATATTAGGATAATGTGTATTTAGCTGTCAGATAAGTGAACAAAAATTGTTTGATGACACTATCATAATTTGTATAATGGCAATAAGATGTTTCTAGTTCAGCTGTCACAATTAACTGTTAGTTCTTTAAAACGTTTTGCTAGGATCTCAAGACTTCTGAATCTTTTTTCAGATAAACCCGTTACATTGTTCAGGTTCTGTGATAATACTTTTATAATTTTTTAAAGAGCTTAAGCCAACACTTTATACTAACAGCATTCTCTTCTCATTCTCTACCTGTCAGAGTGATATGTGCATGGAAACTCTGTTTATGATCTTCTGATGTTTGCCAATATGCTGTTAGTAAGATACTCAAAAGAATTTGACAAAACCTTGAGTTTGATGTTGAATAAATGATGCTTCTCAATTATAACTCTTTACTGGATATCAGATGATTTAACAAGTCAACATATGCTATTTGCCACTAGAACATAAGGAAAGACAAATGATTTTTGGCATGACACTTGTGATAACTTATAAGAGTGTGAGTTTCTATAAAATGCTGAAAGATCTGCTGAAGGCATGATGCTTATGAGGAAACATGACATTTTTTAAGAAGCATGAAAGTGTAAATGGATGGATTTGATATATTGAATCTTTGTGTGCTGACTGACACTTAACGGAGCTAATTGCCATATATTTTTTTGCGAAATTGATAACATGTGCTATTTTGTGCTAAAAAAAAGCCAGAGGCCCATGTAACAACAGAAATGGTAGGGTGATCTCTATTTTTCTGTAAGCTATTTCGACAATCTGTGTAACTCCTACATTTAAATTAGCACACTCAATCTCTCTTTTTAATGAAGGCTATTTGTAAGGTGGCATTCCTTTCTTTTATTGGCGATTGCTCTAGGTATGTATGCTTGCTATCTTTGGCAAGCAGATAAAAGTTTTGTGTATAAAATTTACTTGCAATAAAACTAATTTGCAACTAAAATTCTAGTATGTTCATATATTTTTATTGACGAGGTTTCTATTGTAAATTTTCACAATGAAGCATGGGCTCCTATTGCAGCTTATGATAGTTCTAATACATTTTTATATTTTTACTTAAAAATGAGATAACATGTATCACTTATCGAGTATAGTGTTGGGTTATTCTTTATCAGTTTCTATAAGAGACATGATAATCTCTTAACAAATTTTTGGATGGCGCCTATAGCAACTGTAATAATTCAAGTGAAAATGAACTAAACATAATATATCATACCATATTGATGATCTCAAGAGTTGACAAAGATGGTTAGGATGGGTCATAGGCTATGAGAACTTGCCGGTGCTCCATTTAGTTTTTAGTCCATTTTAAATAAGGTGACTCAACAAGTTCTTGACTTAGGTTGGATTAGTCCTGCAAGTTTTTATTTAGATTTTAGCTGCGGCAAAAGTTTGATAAGTGTACGGATTTAAGTTGGATTGGTCCTATAACCTTAATTTTCCAACTGAATTGGATTAGGTCTGATAAGAGTTAGACGTAAATGAAAGTGAGGTTTATTGAAAATTTATCAATTGTTGTGACAATAATGAAAAGATTACCCGTAATCTATATTGCTCTTGCTAAAGTGCATACCCACACAGATGTAAATATATCATTCGCACTTCTGTTTGGTGTACAGCATGGGAATTCTAATTTAAAATTGAAAAAAAAAACAGTTTAAATGAAATCATAGAAATATATATATTTTACACTTTATTTCCCTGAAATTATAGTTCAATTGATCAGAATATTGCCCTATCAAGACGGAAGTTACAAGTTCAAGCCTCCGTCAATGATCTTGCAAATCTTTACACAAATTTTAATAATGCTTAAATATGACATGATTAAAGTTTCAATGAAACCTTGAGTTTTGTTGACAAGGTTTTACCGCTCAAACTAATAAAAGAACAATTAACAGTGCGAATTTACTGGAGTTTGAGTGTATGTTGGGAAAGCGAAGAGTATACACAGAGTGATCAAAAGATCTAGATACAGAATCTATCTATGCTTTTACCTTTGCTTGCCTCTATACATTTAGCGATTGATTTACAAAGTTAAGAGTCATGTAGTGGCGCTTAATATATACTGATATTGGGCGGGTAATGAGACTAGTCATCAATGACTGGGTTTTAGGACTCTAGTTTTCTGAATGTGCAACCGTAGAGGAATGCATGCATTGCGGACAAAAAAAAACTTGTAATTGGTTGTAATTGATATCATGTGTATTCTTTCTACACGTCTATGTAGAGCTAATGTGAAAAATTAAATTTGAATAAGAACAACCAAATTGGATTAAATGATTTACATGGTGCAATGCAAGGTATTTAGCCATTTTCTTGTAGTGTCGAATTTCCTAGCTATCTGAATGCTGCTATCTTTCTCCTCGAATAAATCTAAATTGAACCATCAAAATTGAGGTTGGCTACTTCCACCGCCCACAGGTAATGCTGGTGAAAATCCACAGTAAGAATTCAATAATTGGCGCACATCTAGTTTAACTAATAAGCGAAAGTTACCGCTGACCCACATCAATGGTAAAAAATAGACTTCTATGTTAAAAGGGTGAATGGCTAAACAGCATATGTATACAACTGCAAAAAAGTTTGTCTCAAAATACAAAACAAATTGGAGTAAAATGCTCGTCAAGAAGAACACTCAAATTAGAACAACAATCCTCTGAAGTTTTCAACATTCATTCAATTAGCCCAGCACCATCTACATCCACTTCTCCCATTCCCGTGTCTTCCTCTTCTTCACTATCTTCATCGCCACTAACTTCTTCATTATCATTTCTTAGCTTAGCCATGTGCTCGGCAAGTAATTTATCATCCCGTTCGCTCACCTAAAAATCAACACATAGGTCAGAACCTTACAATGGGAAAAAGGGCGATTCTTTTGTAAACGATGGTTCAATTAAAACAAGCTAAAAAAATTTGATACTTACTGCTCGAGGTGGCTCCTTGACAGTCAATTTACCCTTGTGGTGCTCTATTGACTCGGTGCATGATGCAATTGCTTTATTCAAAATTGTTATTCCTTGATCCTACTCAAAATAAAAGTTTCCATTGGCTAAGTTGCCATCAGAATGCATAATGATTTTAGTAAACTCCAACCGACCAAGAACAGGAATGAGATGGCCTAACCTTGTCAAGAGTTTGAGTAGTAAGAACATAAAGAGGAGGTGCAACCAGTTTGATTTTTACAGGGCAATCATTATTGCCTGCTGCCTCGGCCTTCCGCATTGCCTCCTGCAGAAACATAAATGTGGATAAGTCAAATCTCACTCATTTCGTGACAAAGAAACCCCATTCCTGCCTAATTAAATACAAAGCACTAAATCAGAAAACATAATGGAACAAAGAAAATAAAATATAGACAATACCTTAATGTGCAGGACACCATCAAATTGAAAACACTTCATTTCAATATCAGCTCGAATCTTCAGGGGCTGTGGTGTCATTCTCCTTCGAATATTCTTAACTAATGCATCTTTCACTTCTTCTGATATGGCAGGAACAACTTTGATCACCTAAACAATTAAATGAAGCCACCCTCAGTCATCAACGAAAGGAATACTGTGTATAATCAAATAGAAAAATGTTTACCTCTTGTCCATCAGGCCCAACTTCTTTAACTTCACGGGTGAGGGTGTTTAAGACTGAATCAGGATCTGTAACAATGATCTTGAAAGCCTGCATAGAGAATAATTTTATATCTTCAAAAACCTAAACAAAAATAAAATTAAAAAAAAAAAATGAAGTGCAGCGAATTCTCACCTCAAAAGCATGACCATATTTCCGATATAAAGGCCAGCAAATGTTTACATACAACTCCTGTATCAAAAATAAAGATAATAATCAATAAACAATTTGATCACCACACTATGTACAAGAACCCCACATTGTGACAATAAATGAATCACTACCGAAATAAAATCAAAACTGAAACCTCCATAAACCAAACCAAATCCAATCAAACTACCTAATAGTAAAAAATATCCCAATTTTCCCAATTAATCAAGCCTATAAGTCAGACTGTACAAAGCACTTTTTTCTAAATTATTATTATAATAGCCAAGATGCTAAAAATTAAAGAATTACCTCTAAGTCAATGCCCATGGTCTCTGCAACGTGCCGCATGATTGAATGCACAAGCTTGCTCTTGTTGTATCGCTCCTCACAAGCCTGAATATCTTCCTCACTAACCCTCCTCTTGCTCAAATCAATGTATCCATTCTCTTTGTCAACACGCAAGACCATGACAGGCTCAATTCGACCCACCTTGATAAGGCTGCTCACACTACGAATTCGTCGGCGAGAGAGCTCTGAGAAGAGAATAAGACCCTCAATGTTGTTGTACTCCAGCAGTGAGACATAAGCACCCATATCAGCTATATTCTTCACCTGAATCATCACTGCCATGTCCACCTCAGGGTATCTTGCTTCATACATGCGGCATTCTAGGTTTGGGGTGTGGGTTGCCATTTTCTGCAAGAAAAGTGGAGACTTAATGAATGAAATAGAAGGAACAAGTGAAGGAATAAGAGAGACCTTTGGCAATTATTTTCTCCATAAAGCGAAGTGTCAAACACAATATGTATAGTAGGCAGGCAAAGTTTTAAAAGCTATTCCTAATTTCCCAGGTGACAAATTCAAACTTAAATAGAACTCCCAAATACACCATGCAAGTAACACCAAATATGAAACAGACACAAAGTGAACAAGAACATCTATGTCTGTAACCTAAGGATGTATTGGAGAGGTGAGGAATACTCATTCTAAACGTTAAGGGTCTAGATCATGCGAGATTCTTGAGTAAACTTCACGCAAAATGCTACCAATGTTTTATTTTGGCTCATCGGTTCAGGTGGACTACATGGTTTTCTTTAAGAAAAGTTTTATGTTGGTGAAACTACCAAAGGTTTTAAAGTGCATGGAAAATTTAGAAGTCATGAAATTTATATAGAATTAAATATATCAACAAAATTTGCAATTAGTTGTTAGGAAATGAAATCAACCAGCCCCAAAAATACTTGAGAACAGTTTTGTAAAGCAACAAATGAGAAAAAAAGAAAGAAAAACTAATCATCACAAGACAGGTGAATATCCAACATGCAAGTGAATGACTAATCCCTGAATATGAATGTAATTGATTTATCGCACAAGACTGTCTAGCTTAATTAAATCAACTGAAGTCAATGAGCCAAAAGGAACACGGCATGCATGATTAAGATTTCATAATAATTGTCAACACAACCCTTCCCCCCTCTCCCCAAAAAAAAAAAAAACAAAATAAAAAGATTTCAAAACTATAGCAAAAAAGATTCTTATGAGTTATGATCAATGCTCCAAACCTTCTATCTGTACTAATTACTAAAATAATCCTGAAGCCTCAATTATGTCATGCAAGACCCAAAGGAAACCAGAATGTCCACAAACAATCCCCAGAGTAAATGCAAGGAAGGTATCAACTTTTCTCTTTAAACTTTTAATTCAACAGAGAAATACAGAGGAAAAAATCTTATTGCGTCACTATGATTGAAAATGCATTGGGAAGGAAGAAACAGCAGGAAGATAAAAGCTAATTGATATCACTGTCAGCTAACAAGAAGTGCTGCTGTCATATCCTGTAGACTCTAGAGACTCTAGACATTCCCGAAGACAAATGAGTTAAAAGGAGAAAAAAGGTCACCAACACAGTATCAATCCAAGCTGTATTTGGAAGAGCTAACCCTTGAGACAAAAAATACTAGTATTAAGAATCATGTTTCAAAGCCGATGTTGAAAGGAGAAAATTTCTTGCAATTTGAATAAATACTAGTATGTTTCCATCAAGATTGCCATGTTAAGGCATGTTTGGACTTATAATAAAAGGCTCACATAAGACAGAAGAATGTTTTAAAAAATATATAGAACAATTATTTTTGAATTTTGAAAATGAAAACTATTAAATATTAAAAAGAAACATATTGTCTAGTTACATATACAGTGAGTGAACTACTTATCGCAGTCAAATAATTGAAGAATATTATTGAGAATCTATGGGGATTGAAGCTAATACTGCTTGTGAAACTTCTTGAGTTGAAGATGTCCAAACCCACTCTATCATCTCCTATAAGTAACCCCATGTCTCTTCCCACTTCAAGGCTACCCAGTAGAAACAAATTAACCCACACTTGAGCTAGAAATTGAGCGCAAGAAAGAATGCGAGATCCGTTTTTCCATCTGGTGAGGTCGCTAGTTCCATTTCTTGGAAATGATAGCCCAAAGCGATTAAGAAACTGTATTTTTTTTTTTCTAATTTTCAGCTTGAACAAATATATATTTTTCCAAATGGGTAAATAAACCACCTGCTTCTGGAACACGTATTACCTACCCATTTCCACCGAAACCCCCCTCCGTCTTCCATATCACAACATAAACAACTAGACAACACTCTGATTTTCTTTGTTCTCTTTATCTTCTTCCTGCCAATATAAAATATGTATACTTATGACTCCTGTGTCTATCACACACACAGAGAGTGCAGCAGAGCAAGCATGGGAAAGAAGATTGACGCTCTGCTCAGAACAAACTTCAAGCCTCCCAAGTTCAAATCACTAGTTAATCTCGCCATTTCTCGCCTCCCAGTCCTCTATAAGGATTTCTATCAAATCTACGCTAGATCTATGTAAGAACAACTTGAAAATGATCAAAACAGAACGAAAATCTTACCAGGCACGAAGGGTCGGCGAGAGCCGAAGGGAGAAAATCCTAGAGGCGCAGTCTTAAAATTCTTCTCCTCTTTCTTATTTCGAAAAAATGAATTAACGATATTTATATGTGAATCAAATGGTGCACGCCAACACCACATGCATAGGGAATCAATGTATTTTAAGACCCTAGTTAAAACGGCATCGTTTGATGTCAACAAGGTGTATATATACATACTTACAGCATATACACACACCTGAGAGTGGATCAGCCTGCGTCTGTCTAATCAATATTACCCCGTTCACGAAGTTGCGCACAATAGCTGCAATTTAGAATTGAAAAGAAAATGAAACAGAAAGAATTAGGAGTTAAGTGATTGGCCAAGGTTATATTCATCCTAAGCTGATAACTTTTTCAAAAAAACGCCAGAAAATTGTTCTTAGCATCAAACTCAAAATCAACAAGGAGAAGTTCCAAATCGAGAAGAAAATTAATCGTCCATAGGGAACAATATAGACGGAGATAATTAAGTAACCGTAAAGAGAGAGATTCTGGAGGAGCTTAACCTTCTGCACTATCCGATTTGCGAGCCGTGAGTCAAAAAATGCGTGGTTTGGCAAGAGAAACCTCCAGTATAAAATCCAAGAAGCGTAAAAGCCGCTTTAAAACGACGACGTCTGTACCGGTAGACTCCAAGAATCAATACTTAAACGGTGTCGTGTTGTCTACTTTTTAATATTTAATTAATGTGCAGGGGACAAACTTACGAATTTACCCCCGGTGTTCTTCTTATCTTTCTTCTTTATCTTCCTCTCCTTCGCGGCCGGAATCTCTCCGGTCGCCGTTCCCTCTCTCCCGATCAGCTCTTCCTCCCCCTCCTCTCTCTTTCCGGGCGGCCATCTTTCCCAATCTGAAAGGAAAGTCGAGTTAGGGTTTAATTAAATACTCCACCCGAGAGCCGTCCGATCTAGCTCCCTGAATTTTGGGCCGTCCATCCTTCCTTTCTTCTGGGCCGTCCATTTTGCCTCTTCATCTGGACCGTTCATTCCTGATACTTCAATAATTTATTGTGTGGTCTCGCTTTTGCATATTTTATTCATTTTTAATTGCATACTGCCCCTACAAGTTTAATTTGTCTTCATTTGGGTCCCTAAATTTATAATTTTTTTTATGTCTTGTTTAATTTTTTAAAATGTTCTTTGAATTTATCAATCGCCCCTATATTTTCTAGAACGAACTTAATCCCCATTCGCGGGTGTTATAATATGTAACTATATAAATTATCTAATATTTATATTTCAACAACTAAAATTAACGATTAAAAAAATACATATCATTTTATAGGATAAAGTAGTTATATAATGTGCAAAAGTGGTGATGGAATTCCTTTGTTTCTTAACCTACTTCCAATTACGTACAGGAAAGTACCAACAAATTTTACTCAAGAGTGTGCATACAAGTTCAATGCTAATAAGTGCACTTTCAAAGATTGTAAGTAATTTAGAAGGTAGTACGATTATCACAAGTTTAATTTAATTTATTAATACCTACTGTATATGTATATATATATAAATTATTATACTTTTAGATTTTTCAAATAACTTACTGCATTTTTTAGTTACTGGTAAAAATATTAATATATTGATCACTAAAATAATTCCTAAAATAATAATTTTCTACTATATAAATTATTTTTTGAACTTTGATATTTACTAGAGTTAGTTTTATATATTTTTAAAATGAAAAATATAGGACTGGTGATGCCATCTCTTCTAGAAAGTAACTTTAATTGTTATTTGGTAAATGTGGTAGATAAGAAAATCGTAAGCACATTTTTCTTGTTTGGCTGAATTGAGATTTGATTTAATTAATATTAATCTTATTTCACTAAATTAGATTTAATTATATTTTTTTAAATCTTATTTGTTTTTTGTAAAAGTTGTTTATGTGAATAATTTAATTTGACAAGAAATACACTTGCTGAAGAAGCTTAATTTGTAGTTTGCGGCCACATCGTGCTCACACTGTGCTATTCATTTTATTGTTATTATTATTTATGTTATTATTGTCACTGCAAGGAAGGCTGAAATATTTATGACCGTGTCAGAACGTACTTCTAATTTTTAAGACCCAAATCATCATTTTTTTAAAAAAAAAAATTCGATATAAAATTAAAATATTACGATCTTCACCAATCAAATTTTTAATATTTTCAGTAAAATTACATGTAACAATTAATCAAATTAGAATATAAGAATCCCAAATGTTCAACATTCCATCAATTTCGAATTGCCAAGTTAATATAGGCTCTAATATTACTTATAATAATTTTCATTTAAAACATCACTAACCCATTAACTTCAAGCTAGTATTGCTTGTGAAATTTCTCGAGTTTAAGAATTTCAAACCCACTCTATCATCTCCTACAAGGAACCTCGTGTCTCTTCTCGTGCCCCCACGACGTGCAAAAGAAATACTCGTTTCTAAAAAAATGATGTTATTTACAAAATTAACAAAGAATTAAATACGGCGTCTCGGAAATTATTTTAATTTCTTTAGTTAAAAAGTTATTTTATAATTTTGAAAGAAATTATTTTCTTTATGTTATAATTGTAAGATAAAATATATGATTCTTCCATATTTTCATAAATAAAAATATAAGTGAACTTTAAAAATAAAAAATTTAAAAAATATTTCATTTTTTAAATAGAATCTTAAATTTTCCATGTAATAGTGAATTTATTTTTTAATTAATCTTAGTTAAATATTTCAAAGTACTGTAAAGTGAACGAGCGAAGAAGACCAAAAATTATTATTATTTTAATTAAAGTGGAAATATAGAGAATTATCGTGAGTGCTTATATTTTGAATTCAAACAAACATTTAATAAAACTAAAAATAAGAATTGATATTGACGTAAGTTAGAAAGTACTCGGTAAATAATAATTAAGGGAGCGTCTATAACGCGCTAGAAATTGAGCGTGAGAAAGAAGACAGGACGGCTTTTTCCATTATATGGGGCCGCTTGTTGACCAAGATCAGCCATTTCTTGGAAATTCACACCCCAACGCGCTTAAGAAATTGTATTTTATTTATTTATTTTCATTTGCAGCTTGAATAGATATATATACATATATTTTTCCAAATGGGTAAATAAATAAATATTAGTTTTCCATTTGGCAAAACTCGCTCTCTTGAAAAGTCTTCGTCCTTAAGAAATCATCTACCTCTGGAACACGTATTGATCTGCCCATCTCCACAAAACCCCCTTTCCCTCTTCTCAGATCACAACATAAACAACTAGACAACACTCTGCTTTTTCGTTCTTCTCTTCCTGCAAATATATAATATTTATATATACATAGGATTCCCGTGTCTATCACACACACACAGTACAGCAGAGCAGGCATGGGAAAGAAGCTCGACGCTCTGCTCGGAAGAAACTTCAAGCCTTCCAAGTTCAAACCAATTGTCAATCTCGCCATCTCTCGCCTTGCCGTCCTCAAAAACCAGCGCCAGGTCAAGTTCTCTCAGGCCAGGTCAGATGTCGTCAAGCTCCTTGAACTCGGGCACCATGAACGAGCCCTTCTTCGGGTATCATTTTTTTCCTATCAATCTATCTCTCTCCACTCCATCTACATTGACTAATATTAATCGGTGTGATCAAAGGGATTTTTTTTATTTATGTTGACAGGTGGAGCAGGTGATCAAAGAGCAGAATATGTTGGACGTGTTTGTTTCGGTGGAAGGGTATTGTAATCTCCTGCTTGAAAGGATCTTCTTGCTCGAACAAGAGAGGTTAAACTTCTTTTCTCCTTCCTTATTATTTTTATATGTTAATATGTATACATATAGCATCATTTTCTTTATTCATTGTGGCTATAGATCTTCTGATGGATTTTAACGAATTGTTTTTCTACAGAGTATGTCCTGACGAACTGAAGGAGGCGGTGTCAAGCTTGCTGTTCGTGGCGTCCAGGGTGGGGGATTTCCCGGAGCTGCAAGAAATTCGGGCAATTTTGACCTCTCGCTATGGCAAGGAATTCGCAGCTAGTTGTATTGAATTGCGTAACAACTGTGGTGTCAGCCCCAAGGTATATATACATATATAATACGTTAGTTTACATGGTAATTAACATCAAGCTAGTAGTAACGATCACAATATGATCTGAGTTGTATAATAAGTTCTCCCAAAAGGTTAATACATAGTTTGAAGTTTCATTTGCATCAGACTTGAATTGAGGTTTTCTTTTCTTAATGTTGTACTCTTGGCTGTAGATAATACAAAAGCTATCAACCAGAAAGCCAGACCTGGAGAAGAGAATGAAAGTGCTCAAAGAGATAGCTGCAGAGAAAAGCATGGTTCTGCAACTTGAGGAATCTTCTGCTTCTTCCACTGAGGTATGAAGCGTATTATCTATGCCCGCACAACCTGAGATGGATAATACTGTTGTTCTTAAACCATGGATTGCATTCGTTGATATATATGTAAAAAATACTTGGTGTTTGATGCAGGAAAAATCGAACATAGGCTCAAAATCAGAGTTACCAACTAAGCCAGGCAATGATGTGCAATTTATGGCTGAACCGATAGGAAAAGATGATAATTTCTCTGATACTGCAAAAGGAAGGAAGAAGTACAAGGACGTGGCGGATGCAGCTCAAGCAGCCTTCGAGTCAGCTGCTTACGCAGCAGCTGCAGCGAGAGCAGCTGTGGAACTATCTCGATCTGACTCCCATGATCCTGATGATAAGAGTAATCCTAGTACTCAAATACAAAAACCATCTGATGAGTCCAAGAAACTTGAATCTGATTCTAAAAATGAAGCAATTCACAGTAGTGACAAAGCTGAAGGATCAAAGCAGAGGAAAGAGGAAGCAGAATATAAAAGATCAATGTCTGGTTCGAGTACAGATTCAGCGGATGACAATGTGAAGGTGCCAATAACAAAGTCCTTCCGGGAAATTGACCCAACTAAATTGTTGGATAAGGAGATAGTCTTTTATGATAGTGATGATGAGTCTGGTAAGTCTAATATATCAGGACGTGCCACTCAAGGATCTGGGATGCACAATCTGAAGCATTCAAAAATAGAGAAAGGGCCAATTTCAGTGAGGACAAGACAGGTGCGTGGCTACTGAGAAGTATCGATATTATATTTTTCTCTCCTTTCGCAAGCTTTTTGAGTTATATTTTCACAACAGGCCTGAGTATTGTATAAAGTTTTGTTCCTGGATTCTTGTTTATTAAATTTCCAGAAATGGGAACTTGGTGTAATGGATTGGGAGTGTAATTACATTTTTTGAAACCTTTTTTGTATGCCAAAAAATAAGTTTCAGATTTTTTGTTGTTTTGCTCTTGGCTTGGAGTCCACAGATTCCGACCAACCTGAAGCTATTTGGTCGACTATTTGGAATTGGAATTGGTCTTTTAATGAATAAGTTATTAAAAAATGAACCAAGTAAAACCAATAATATAATTAAAAAATAGTGTAGGATAACTGTAACTCTTCAACTTCTAAAATTAATTGCAAACGTTAAATTTTTAAATATAAAATTATAATTTTTTGGAAATTGTAACCTTCTAAAATTTAAAATCCAAACTCAAATTATTGAACGGCTAGATCTCGACTAATATTTTTCCACTTAATCTTGGTGTAATATCCTTCTAATTAATATAGATCAATCACAAAGCAAAGAAGCATTCAATCGAACCATTTAAAAAATCATTAATTGATCAACAAGTTAATTAACGATGATGAAAAAACTGAATTTTTTTTTTGGCTATTCAATAAAAGTTCGATAATTTCCCAGCCCCTCCCAACTCAGAAGTAAGCAACCATGAACCGTTCATAAAACAATGGCATAAAAAATTTATGCGGGTATACATATCAAAGGGGTGGTAAGCAGACCTCAATAAAATGAATTCATTCATCAGAACCCTGAAGCACGTTTCTAGATACAAGGATTCAGAATCTACAAGAAACTGAAAAAAAAAAGTTCACCTCTATTGAGAAATTATATATGCTTGCAGGCTGATTGATTCTTCTTGTGAAATCACCGGCATCTGGCCCGCTTCTTGTCATGTTGTAGCAAATCACAGAATGACTGCAGATTTACGTCTACATCTTCGTCATATTCGATTCCAAGTTCCTCCTGCAAAACATATACATTGGTAAAAAATGCCTGCCAGGGCAAGTGCATGTGTTTGCTGGATGTAAAATGTAAGTAAAACATTGAGAAAACCTTAAATTCCTTGAGATCCTTTGGTGAGTTCTCAGTTATAGCATCCCAGAGATCTTTGAACATCCTTTTACGCTTTCTCCATTGACTTACCTTCTCAGTATATATTTCTTCAACAATCTTTCTATCCTCAACCTTCACCAAGGTAACGCCTCCACGTAATTTAGCCAGTTTGTCCTCCATTTCGTTAACCTGAGGTAATTAAGAAGGCCCTGAATCTTAATGTTGGTCTCTTCTACCCAGAACAGCCAAAAGTTAAAAGCAGACTTCAAACGCAACCATGTTATGTACCTCCTTTCTCAGTTGGGCCTCTTTCTGTCGTATATCTTCCAGTGTCAAATTCGACTGCAAAATCTTAATTGCTGCCAAAAATGAAACAAAAGATATAGTAAGGCAAAAAAAAAAGTTCTCTATCGACCTATTGTCTGAACAAATATCCATGAAAATCAAAATCCTTATGGCATCATCAACCATGAAACATTCAATAACTGCGATTTTGTATTCATTATCTTTAGGACAAGTATCAGCCTATCAGGTATAGAGTTTCTACCTCCCTCAACCTTGCCGATTGCTCTCTTTTGCTCGTCAAGCTGTTCCTGCAACTTGGCATTTTCCTCCTTCATTCGCGCAAGATCTTCATTGTTTGGGATGTCAAATTGATCTTGCTTTGCAATATATATCTTTTGCTTACCGTACTCTTTGAATGAAATCCGCCCACCATCAGCAAGATTATCCAGTGCTTTTTGAATGGCAGCCTTTTTGAGGTTAAACTTTTGCAAAGAATCAGCCACACTCTGAGCATTTAGAGGTCTATTTTGCTGTTTAAGAAGACATGAATGGTGAATCCCCATCAAAGAAACCAGAGGATGAACAATAAAGAGAATATGTGTGTACTGTGCAGGAGGACTCAGAGAACCATACTATCCTCACAGCCTATAATGTTTCATAGAAAGTAAAAAGTACTTCTATGGGAAATGGAAGCCTACTGTCAAGTGTCAATTGAACATATAAACGAAGTCAAGACTCAAATCTGCAGGATAAACATCTTTTGTTTCATAATCTACAATTGATTTGTCGTGAATCAAACAGACCCAAATTGTTATTATTAGTTTCTCTATTATTCCTAGACCAAGCAGCAACTGAGGTTTCTCAGCATAAACCGTTTTGGTTCCGAGAAAATGCAGGAAACAACACTAAAGAAAATAAGAACTAAAATGACGAAGTTTTAGGAGTTATTAATCAATTCTCATGTAATAATCAAACGCGAGAAAAATTCCTGTACGATACATAACTCAAAATTTTTGTTTCATTGAGCACAAAATTCAAAAAGGTGAAAACCTAAACGCTAACGTTCACTGAAAGAGTAATTAACACTTACCTCGTTCACGAAGTTGAGCACAATAGCTGCAATTTTAGAATTAAAAAGAAAAAGAAACAGAAAGTATTAGGCGTTGAGTGATTAGTAAAGGCTATATTCACCCTAAGCTGATAATTTTTTTTTTAAAAAAGACGTCAGAAAATTGTTCTTAGCATTAACTCAAAATCAACAAGGAGAAGTTTCAAATCGAGAAGAAAATTAATCGTCCACAGAGAACAATATGGAGGAGATAATTAAGCAACCATAAAAAGAGAGATTGTGGAGGAGCCTAACCTTCCGCAGTATCAGATTTGGGAGCCATTGAGTCAAAAAAAATGCGCGGGAAAATCCAGAGACTTCCTTTTTGGCTGCCGCGATGAACTTTGTGTAGTTTGGCAAGAGAAACTTCCAGCATACAACTCAAGAAGGCTGAAAGCTGCTTTAAAACGACGACGTTTGTACCGGCTGATACAATAATCGGTACTTAAACGGCGTCGTCTTATCCAGTTTTTTTTTCTATTTTAATCAACGTAATGAGGATAAACTTACCAATTTACCCCCGCATTGAACCCCACATCACCAAAACCGACCTCTGCAGACGAAAAACTATAGCCATTCCCTTGTTTAGTGTTGCGAAAATGAACCACGTAATTTATAAGTAAGAGTTCAATTTCTCTTTTAAAAAAAGAGATCATTTCTTCATTATTCCGTCTGGCGGAAGTCGCAGAGACGACGATGATTTTGATGACGACTCAGAGGTTGGAAATCAAAAGCCTAAATACTCTCCTTGCATCAAACAAACCCTTCAATTTCCCAAGAACGTCTCTCTCTCCTAAAAAGTTATACGGAGGAAGGCAAAGCTTGACGGTTGATTGCTTCAAGCCATGGTCCAAGCTTATTACCATCTCATCATTAAGGCTGCGAGATATCAGGTCTCTCTCTGGCCGTAAGCCCACCATCGCCACTGTAGATGGCGATGATGATGATAACTTGCGGAGACTCCTACAGTACGTTCTGTGGACCGCTGAGGCTGTTTACATATTGTGGCTCTTTCTGCTCCCTTATGCTCCGGTATGTAGCTCTATGGTCCGATGGAAACAATGAATTGATTCACTTCTTCACCATAGATTTCTAAAATTTGTGGTAGTACAGTAGATTGCTGCATGAGATCCACCAATTTCTACTTTGCATTTTATCCACAATTAATTGGGAATGGTGCATAATTACGGAACTTGATAATGCTGCTTTTCTAGGGATATAGATATGACAGTAACTTTCATTGTCGTTGTATCTTTTAAATGTCAACAGGGAGATCCTGTTTGGGCCATCAGTTCAGAGACTGTGAATTCTCTTGTGGGTCTTTCTCTGAATTTCTTCTTTATCTTGCCTTTGGCAAATTCTGGTACGTTCAACTTCTTTTTGGCTATTTTTGAGATCTTTAACGCTCTATGTCCTTTTACAATTGCTTGCAACATCAAATGCTGTTAATTCTAAATACCTTTGGTTAATTGTCTTGCATACTTTCGTCCTTGTTTTAGATTGTATGCTACAATGCGGTGTCTGTTTTGGTTATTTGTCGCTGATGCCTGAATGGAACATGTTTCACGATCCACAATGAAAACTTTATCCACCAGGACGCACTTGATTGAACTGATCAGCATCACGATGTACTTCTTTTTGCAGTTAGACTTAATACTATTGCACTGTATTATCTTATTGGTCGTTGAAAGCAAAGAGGCATTTGGACATGCCCTTGCGTAAAGAATCTTGATAGTGTTACTTTAAGAGCATTTCATTTGAGCTTAAAATTTTCCTTTCCCTCTATACCTTGCGTCAGTTATAAGCATTTTCCTCTCTATATCAACAACTTGCTTTTACATTTCCCTTCATCTTTTGAGGTGATACCATATTTCTTTTTTGACCCCATTCTTTTATTTTTCCTGTTCCTTTAGAAGTGGTTTAAGTTGGAGTTTAATATGCCCCTACTAAATTATATGACCAGTAGTTTGATGATGAGTTATACCAGGTAAAATAGTTGATACTACTACTAGCCAATTGTCCAAAATCTCTAAAGTTATGAGAGGAGTTTAATTTATTCTTTAAGTATTTTTTAACACACATAAAACATGAATACCCATGGAAACCCAAGCTGAATTTATAACCTCTTAAGGGTAATGGGCTATAAGTATTCTTTGTTTCTGGAAAAGATTAGTTCACTTCTATTATTTCAGATAGTATCAGAGTCAAATATTTGGTTTAAAGCTTAGGAAGCTTGTCCTATCCATTATTTAA